CTATGAGTGAAACCATCCGGTATTTTTCTATTTTTCTTTTTCTTTTTGGCTTATTTCACTAAGCATGCTCCCTTCTAGCTCCATCCATCTTGCTGCATCAGGCATGAGTTTATCTTTTTATAGATTATATATACATCTATACACACATGCACCGCATCTTCTTGACCCAGTCATCTATTTTTGGGCAGTTGGGTTGATTTCACATCTTCCCTACTATAAATAGAGAAGCAATAAACATAGGGGTGCAGGTGGCCTTTTGAATTACTGTTTTTGTGTCCTTTGGGTAGATACCTCGGAGTCAAATTGCTGGATCATAGGGAAGCTCCATTTTTAGCAGTTTGAGGACTGTCCACACAGCTTTACATAGTGGTTGTACCAGTTTGCGTTCCCACCAACAGTAAAGGAGAGCTTTTTTTTTCTCTACACCCTTGCCAACATTTATTGTTGCTCACTGGTGTGAGGTCGAATCTCATTGTGGTTTTGATTTGCATTTCCCCTACTAGAAGTGATGCTGAATATTTTTCATATGCCTGTTGGCCATTTGTGTTTCCTCGTTAGAAAAGTGTTTTATAACTCTTCTAACCATTTTTTGACTGGGTTGTTTACTTTGTTTCTGTTGAGTTTCCTAACTTTTTGTATATCTTTGTGATCAGTCCATTATCATTTGTGTTATGTGCAAAAATTTTCTCCTAGTCACTGGAGTGTTTTATATAGTGTCTTTTTTGCTATATAGAAGCTCTTCAGTTTGATATAGTCCCAGCTGTTTATCCTTTCCTTCATTATCCTTGTTTTGGGGTGATTTTTGGGGGGGGGTGTATTTTTATTTGTTTGGTTGTTTGTTTTAAAGATTGATTGATTTATGCATACAGAACTGGTGTACAAGTCAGAGTTGCAGGGGCAGTGAGAGGCTTCACCAGAGACAGAGCAGGGAGCAGAACAGGCAGATCAACGAAGTACACTGTTGAGGGGAGCAGCAGAGGTCTGCCGCGCCATGTGGGTCACCTCCAGGGCAGGGATGGAACTCATGCGGAAGTGGCTTTAGCTTCTTAGTGCTGTGCTTTAACCTGCTGCACCACCCGGGAGGGCCAGGAGTGATGATGTATTTTTTTTTTTTTTAAGATATTTATTTATTTATTCATATAGAACTGGGATACAGGCCAGAGATGCGGAGGGTGAGAGGATTCACCAGAGACAGAGTGGGGAGCAGAACAGACAGATCGACGAAGTACACTGCTGAGGGGCAGCGGGCGGGTCAGGAGAGGTCTGCCTCGCCATGTAGACTCCTCCGGGGCAGGCGGGGATCGAACTCATGAGGAAGCGGCTTTAGATTCACAGTGCAGTGCTTTAACCCGCTGCGCCACCAGGGAGGGCCCTGATGATGTATTTTTAAAGATGTTACTGAACTGTATTTCATATAGTGTTTCACCAATATTTTCTTCTATAAGTTTTGTGCTTTCAGGTCTTATGTTTAGTACCTTGTCATTTTCTTAATGGTGGTT